CCTGCTCAGCCTGGGATCGGCTTCTGGGCCTGGGCCTGGGCCTGGGAGGCGAAGACAGAAAGGGGCCTGGGGACCTGCCAAGCCTGGAGCTGGAGGCCAGGTTCCAGGCCCAGGGCAGGCGAAGGTGGGCTGGGCCGTAGGCTTTCCTTTACCTTCCCCCGAGACAGAACAGGCAGGCTCAGGCCCAAGGCGAATGCCCTGGAATAAAGACTCAAGAGGCACGGATGGGTCTGCGGTACGGGCACAGTTCACAGGCAAACGCACGCCCGGACTGCTGAGGCTATGGCATCACTGCCATTAGACACCGGCAAGCCCGAGGGACTGGAGAGAGGGCTGCAGGTGGCCCTCCGCGCTACTGGGGCGGGCAGGCCAGCTCTTTGCGGCAATTGGGACTGAGTAACAGGAGGGAGGGTTTCAGTTACACGAGCATTTCTTAAGCCTGTTTAGTCTGTAACCCACCTGTGCCCTTACGGGTACAAACAGCCCTTTCAGCCACCTGAGCCACCTGTGAGGAGGGGCCGCACTCGGCCTGTGCCTGCTCCAGCGCTCTCCTCCTGCTCCCCCCTCTCTCTCTCTCTGTCTCTCTCTGTCTCTCACACACACCCCTTCAGTCCTTCCCTTCCCAGAGAGTTCCCACCCTCCTCCCCCTACAACCATGGAAGTGGGCAAAGTGGCAAATACCGTGACACCCAAAGGACCCCTCTTCCTGATGCTCTTTACCCTGCCAGGACCACTGCAGGATCACTTTCCCCTGACTGCAGCGCTCAGCACGGGGTCTTGCCCCTGACGCGGGCCTATCAAATGCTCTGACTCGAGTACAGGCTGCACCCCCTGCCCAGTCCTTGAACCAGAGGCCTGGTTCCCAAGGCCCAGGGCAGAGGCGGCCTGACACCATCCCCTTGGATCCTCTGAGCCCAGCACAGGGCCGGGCACAGAGCGGGCAGGGGTGGTGTGAGAGACCTACGGGCGGGCTTGTGGTTCGGGCACAGCACTCCCAGGCACGCACAGAAAACCCTTGCCCTTCACACCATGCTCCCTTCCCGCAAACTGAGGCGCCCAGGGTGAGTGTCTCTCTGGTCCTCCCCGGCCTTCCGCACCTACTCCACCTGCCGCAGCCTCCTCCCTTCCCTCCCGGGTGCCCTCAGGCACCTGTCCCACCCTGGACTGTCCGGTTGGCAACTATTTAAAATAAGAGAGGGTGTATCAGGAGAGGCAACGTCTGCCTTTGACCTGATCTTCAGAACGAGGGAGGAACACAGACTTCTGGGTGAAGGGAATGTGTATCTTGATGGGGTTTAGTTGCCTGGGTGTTTGCATCTGTCAAAAATTTTCACATTATACACTTCCGATCTGTGCACACCACACTCTGAGTGTAAACATTATATCCTGGTTGCAAACATCTTAGAAGATCCAGGGGCCTGCTCTCCTTTGCCCGGCCAGGAGGCCCGGGGCCTCTCCTTGGTCACTAGGTCTGGCCGGGAGGCAGGACGGGTGTGCTGAGCGTCACAGCAGGCGGGCGGGCAGCCTTGGCCTAGGAGTGCTTGTGAGCCGAACCTCCCGGGGAGCGGGGCTTCACCAAACACATCAGCTCAGGCCCCCGCACCAGAGTCTGCACACGACCAGGAGGCCCGAGTTTGCCCCAGAGCAGACCCGCAGGGCCCCGGGGACCTTCATGACACCCTTTGTTACCTAACTTCGTCCCCACTGCACCACCGTGGGGCGTGCGGGGCTTCCTCTTCACACACAAAACCGCAAAGTGTCTGACACGCACAGTCACAGCCGATCCTCATTGTCTGCGGATTCCATGCTTGCGAACTGGCCCACCTGCGAGAGTTCTGTCTAATCCCCAGATCAATGCTGCAGCCTCTTTGAGGTCACTCCCGGACATGAGCGGAGAGGAGAAAACTTCCAGCGGCCACAAGCAGACGTCCCCAGCGCGGGTCTAACCGGGTCACACCGCCATGCCCTCCTCTTTTAGTTCTCAGTGTCAGTGTGTGTCCTTTTTGTGGTCTACTTGGTGTCCCACTTTTCATTTTCTGTGCTTTTTCTTGGTGATTCTGCTGTTTAAAGTGGCCCCTAGGAACCCGGTCAAAGTCCTGCCCCATGTCCCTCAGTGCAAGAAGGCTGTGACGTGTCTCATGGAGAAAATACTTGTGTTAGGTATGCTTCCTTCAGGCACAGACCATAGTGCTGCTGGCTGTGAGTTCAAGGTTCATGTGAAACATTACATATGAAATAAGGTGTCTTTGAGCAGAAACACACACAGAATGTGGTTATGTATTGATGGGGTGACCAAAATGTTGTGACCGGATGCTCATAGACACCTAGCTCTGTATTTTTCCTGGGAGCCGCGGTTCAGCATTCATGAACTTGGTATTGAAAGTGACTTCATAAAGTACCACAGATAATGAGAATCGACTGTTCTTGTCCAATATCTCGTAGCATGTTAGGGAACTACCTCACACTGATTTCCATGGTAGTCCTCCTTCCAGGGTCCTGCTCCCACTGCGGCATTCTGGGCAAGGGGGGCACCCCAGCCCCAGCAGTGCTGAGTGACAGGCATAGAGAAAGCCCCTGCACAGCCCCTGCTTTCTGAGCTGCTGTGCTTCATGAGGGCTGTACTGAAAGGACCCTTGAGGAAAAGACGCGCAGACTTCGGAGTAAGACATGACGCCAGGTTAACGGCAGGGAGGGGAACGCAGCAGGAGCACCTACCACTCAGAGGAAGGCCGTGTGAGGCTGGGACAGCCGCGGGGAGGGAAGGATGCAGTTCAAGTAGAGCCATCGGCACCATCAGTGGGGGTCAACAGAAGTCATAAGAGGCAGGGCTCTCGGTCCTGCCCCACCTGTGCTGAGACCCCTGCCCCATGCCCCCCTTGCATTTTACACACTGCTCAGTTCCTAGTGCCCTTCACCCCCGTGATCTCATCTGATTCTCCCGAGACTCAGGAGGTGGGCAGGTCAGACATCACCATCTCCCATTCAGAGATGAGGAGCCGGGATGCCACCCCAGGTTGCTGCACGGCTGGGGGGGATGTGGACTCTGGACTTGGCAGCAGAAGCCTGAAGTTCATGTCCATGTCCATGTTCCTGAGGCCACCCTGAGAGCAGATACGCCGGCCTCCCAGTGCCGCCCGATGGCCTCCTTCATGAGCTGCCTGCACTTCACCTTGGCCCCACTCCACCCAACTTCTGCCACTTGACAGGAGGCAGGTGTTATGTTACTAAAGGGGAAACTGAGGCCGTGCAGGAAGTAATTTCTGGTACCTCCTCCTCTCATTCCTGTTTGAACTCAGCTCTGAGGGGTGGGGGGAGGATGGGAGATGGGCAGCCGCTGTGTGCCTTCTCAGAGCCTGGGAGCCCCTGCTCCTCACAGGGGCTCAGTGCTGGGTGGGGCTGGCCAGCGTCAGGGGGCAGGGTCAAAGCTGGCATGGACACCTGCCTTTGGGTCCCATAGGCGTAGAATGTCAGAGAGGAGCCGGCTCTTCTGATTGCCCTTGAATGATGCCAGGTGTGGGAGCCCAAGCCAGGAGCAGCTGAGCCATCCTTGGCCAAGCAGAAAGCCACCTGGCCTGAGGTCCCTGAGAAAGCAACGGGTCCAGAGCATGGACCGTTTCTGAGGGGCCCCGCTGTGCGGGACAAGGAAAGTGACTTCCTTTCTGCCCCGCTGAGTATCACCCAGGACTGATGAGTACTGATCTGAATTCTGAACGCAATCTCGTCCATCCTCTGTCATACCGGCCAGTCTTGGGCTCCGCCACTCTGTTATGATATCCAGCTTTGTGTTCGCTCCTACCCCCAGGTTCTGATTATCCCTGAGTGACATGTACTTCGGTGCACATCCGTGGGTCTCCATTTTCCCCCACCATCGAATCCCGGAGGGATTTCAGACCCTCTCTTAAAGAACGCAAGGACTCACTCTGCCTGAGATTGTCACCCAGAGATGAGCGTGTGTCTTGCCCTTGGAGAGGATGTGTTAGAATTGAAGAGGCTGTTTCTAACTTTCAGAGGCACCCCTGGGTGGGGGTGGGGCAAGGTCCTGCCCCAATATTCCTATAGTTAAAAATGATCAGTAAGTGTGACCAGTGAGGGAGGACAACTACAGTCCTTTTCCTTAACTTATAACACTTTATTCTCCGTTTTGTCCGGCTCACAGGCCTCCGGTTGCAAGTGTTGACTAGAAGCCTGGGGTTCCGGCAGCAAGAGCTTGCCTGGGACCTGATCCCGTCAGGGTGGGGCCCAACTATTGCTCGTTTCTCCAGTCAGTCAGGGCATTTGCCAGGCTCCTCTGCCTGGCTAGAGGTTACCGTCTGCCTCCTCTGCACACCGATGCCTTCCTCCCGCTCTTCAAGCATGAAAGGGAGCCGGCACAACAACGCACATAGGCAGAGGGCCCAGCCCTTGGGACAGAGCTCATCTGGCCCCGTGTCCCCAGGCCCAGGGTGCTGTGACAGCCAGCTGACAACAGAGGGGGTGTTCCTGGGGGCTACCCACTTGAACGGCACCAGAAGAGTCTCCAGTACCAGGAGGTTCTGGGGGGGATGCCGGAGAATGGGTTAAGTGGATGCCGAGTCACTGAAGGGACAGTATGGATCGCGCCCATGATTGAGTGGCCCACGGGAGCCTTGGGAAAAAAGTCCAATGCCTTTTCCCTGCTGTTTAGCCCTGGAGCATCAGCCTATAATCAAGTCACAGTCAGAAACGGCCGGGATCTCCCTCTGGCCCTCCAGGGCACAATTATCCAGCATGATTCCACATCCTGGCCCATCATCATTCCCACATTGCCATTGCTATCTATCTTATAGGGATTTGGCAATTTAAATTGAAATCAGGACAAAAGAGGGAAGATAAAATTTGCAAATGATACAAGGAAGGAAGAGTAAGCAAAGACAGGGGGAGAAGAGAGGTCAAAAGGAAGGAGTGAAGCTAGAGACGATGAGGAGGAGGAGGAGAGTTACGGGGGAAGGGCGCGGCAGGAGGAAGCTGCCGGCGGTACTCACGTGTTGTGGAGCACACACCAGCCGCAGTGCGGGTCCCCCGAGCCCAGGCAGTCGCTGCAGCTCCGATACTGACCGCAGGACTCCACGGGGACTCTGGTGAGCTGGGACGGGACAACAAGCGAGAGAGTGGTCAGGATTTTGCAGAACACGCAGTCGTTCACAAGAGGTTGCACTCTAGCAGGTGTATCCCCTAAAACAGTGTGGGAGCGGGAAGGGATCGAGAATCCCGGAACTGAAAGGGACCTAGAGGATCGTATTTGAGCAGGTGGCCACATAAGCGCCCAAGGGAGACACCCACCTGTTGTTTTCATAGAAATCTCTGGGAATGGACTCCAGAGAGGTCATATTAAAATGTTATAAAAGGCACTTACATGGTCTACAGTTACATTTCCTTACCACCAAACCCCCAAAACATCTCTACAAATATCCAGTCCAACACATATCTGTTTCTTCTCAAGGCAATAAGCTCAAATGTTTACTCGTTCTCCATTCTTGTTTCTCTTTTGCCAGAGTGTTTTGCCTCCTTCTCAGTCTTTCTCCTTCCTAATTTTTGTGGTTCCAGAGGGCCCTTAACCCAAGACCAAGGCCTTCACTTTCTCTTTCTCCGTGCCCTTAACAAGGTGTAATAAACTCGCTCCGCAGCCATTACCTGCCTATTCTGTCTTTCTCATAATGTTGGCCGACTGGCTCTGAGAGTTTTTCACTCTGGTGCTTTCAAAGGGCAGCTGTTACTTCTCCTACCCACACCCTTTTCATGATGAGAGGTTTCCTGTCCCGGCCCCAAACCTGACATTCGCTTTCACCAGCCGCTTGTTAACGTATTAATAAAATGTCCCATGTGACGCTGCTGCTTGGCCCAGGTGCTTCCATTTCCAGCGTGCTCCCAGGACCTGCTCCGTCCCTTTGTCTTCCAAGGAAGCTCTGCCCGGTGTCTTTGACAGGACTTCTCAGGACCTGATAACGTTGCACGCACTTAATACCGACCCACAGGATTGAACGGAATTTTAATATTTTTCTATACAGCCTTGGCCTTCACTCTCCATTTTGCCTGTTTCTTCTCTACAAAATCCTTGTACTTATTTATTTTTATCAATCATCTTTTTCCAGGTGGGATACATTTTTATCTCGATGGGGGATTTCTTACCTAACCTTTCAGCTCGAGCTAAGGGAATTGGATACGGTCATCTTTTTCCGTTTCTCGCCATCGAGCGGCAGGCACTGGGAAAGGAAGCCACGCAGGCCTGACAAGCATGGAGCTTCCTAAGCAAAGGCAGAGTCTGGGTTTCCCCTGCTGCGCGGGGGAGGGGGCCAGGGAGGAGCATCTGCCTCTGTAAACTCCTGCACCGCCTGGCAGGGGCGGCGTGTAACGCACGCGCAGGCAAACTGGCACCAGCGCCTGCTCAGTGAGTCTCGGAACTCCCTTTTGGAACTACTCAATAATTAATTCTATTCTCTCATGATCTCCTTTTCCTTTCTACCTTCATTTTCCAATTCCCTTTATATATCTTTTTGTTGTTGTTGTTTTTCTCAAGTACACACGGAGTATTCTTAACGGCCACGCTCCATTTTCCCTTCTTCCCAGGTACCTTTTAGCTTCCTTTTCCCATTCTTACGGCTTTCTTTGCCCTTGGCCTTGGGGACCCTTTCCCCACATTCTCAGATGTCTTTTCGTATGTTTAGAATTTTATCTTTTCTTTTATTACCACTTATGTGATCAGCAAGAGCCATGCTTCAGCTCTACCCACATATAACCTTCCCATTTTCGTAATTAATCCTGACAATCAGTTTCTTACAAATTATCCTGCTGACTCCCCACACGGCCAGGAACTTGCCCTCTTCCCATCGCTCCCTTAGTTTCTTTCCATGCCTCCTAAATGGGGATAGACGTGCTGGTCCTATAAGCCTATAAATAATGGCTCCCAGCCCAAAGTACCTGGACTCGTAGAAATTCATGAGTGCTGATGAGGTCCACAAGCTATTTTCAATATTTCCAAAAGCCTAATGGAACTTGAATTGTTGCTGGTTTCTGTTTCTATGCATACGCAGTGATGAATGTCCCATATTAAGAATGGGAAATATATTATTACTTAATCAATGCAGTTTGTTTAGTAGGCAAAACTCTTTCAAAACATGATGCCTGGAGGGGAAAAAAGTCATAAAAGGGGCCACCGATGGTGAAAGCTGGTAACTTAAGCACATAATAATGTTTCCATGTGTTCCAGCTGCTCGTCTGGCACTACGTCGTTTGCATGGTCTTAAGGAGAAAATCATGACTTGCTCAATCAAAAGCATTTTCTTGGTCTAAACTTAATTAGTACCCTCCCCAGCTTCTCCCACGGACACGCTCTATAATTTGTCTCGGACTGACGTGGCCTGGGTCTCCGGGGCATGCAACATAAAGAGCCAGCTGCATGGCCAATCTGACGTTCTCGAAGCCTTTGCATTCCGATTTCTAAAAATAGCTCGCAATTGGTGCTTAATACCCGAAAGCACGTTCTCTCTTGATGTCAGGCAGGAGTCACTTGTGTCGGGCTGGGAAGAGTGTGAGAGCTTGCAGAGCTGGGTTCAAGTTCTGCCTCACGGTTGTCTGGCAGAGAGACCCGACTGGGCCTGAATCTCAACTTTTCTCATCTGTAAACATGGGGATAGAAATGCCCCGCACCAATTCCCAGAGTTTTTCGAAGCACAGATGACCCAGTAGGTATGAAGCTTCGTACATGACGAAGCACATTACAAGTGATTTTTCGTGTTCTCTTTGTCATTAGTACCCATGGTTGATTACACTGTCACTTTTTCTCTCTCCCACACCACAGGGGACTGCTCTGACAGTCTTCCCCAGCCTCATGAATGCGGTTGGGAACTCAACGGGCCTTGAAAAAGTTTTCTTCTTTTATATCTTGAGCATATCATTTCCTCCTTGAACTGTGGTGTCTGCCCCTAAATTGTTCATTGTTTCACCTTTGGGATGAAACCCTGGTGTTATCCCAGCTTCCTGGACCGATTCAGTGCCTTTATCAGCTGCCGTAACAGTTTTGTATCTTTCTTTGCTTTCCACGTAGGCGCACCCCTGTGGGGCAGAGGCCTAAGTCCTGAACAGTTTTTATCAGACTCAGCTCTTTAAACTTTTACTTTCAGGATCTTTCTATCTACTTTTTAAAGACATTTTAAAAAATTACTCTGCTCAACTTTATCTAGGTTTTCTCCACTCTTTTGAAAGCATGGATGCTAAAACTGGAGGAGCCAATGGGATTCTGACAGACCAAGTAGAAAGGTTACTATAAATTGAGAGCCAGGTGTCACACCCCTTGCCTTCCCAGGGTTTCCTGAAGAAGGCTAGGCCAAGGGAAATCTCCATAGTCACACGGTCAGGCAGTGTTCTCCGGCACGGCCTAGCTCCCCCAGCCTGATCCCAACCTACCTCATTGCATTGTCTCACTCCCCACCCCACGGGTAATTCTGGAAAGTATCAGAAAATGTCCTGATGCTTTAAATCACGTTTGAAAACCAGATTTAGTCCACCATTTATCTTGGTGCAATTTTCTTCCCAAATAGCTCTGGTTACCTTCCACACATCGCTGTTGAGTTTCGCAGGTAGCCAGGTGGCTCCTGAGTCACCTTGGCTCTACATTTCTCCCTCCCCTGATACCTCGATTCTCCACCCACTCCAGACACCAGACAAAATGCTCTCTTGCATCCCCCATCGCCGGCTCCTCTCCTGACCCCGGAACACAAACCACTCCAGATGCAGATACACACGATTAATTAAAACCACCCCACGCTGATTCAAGTCTTAAGCTACCGTGCCGGGCATGCTAATTAACAGAGTGAGGGAATTCAGACCACAGGAAGAGGTGAAAAAAGAAAGTCATGGAGGGGGGCTTCTGCCTGGAGAACAAATCAGGTGGCCATGTGGCCTGAGGTATCTTAGTGATGGATGACCTCAGAGACCACAAACGACTGCGTCTGTCCCCTGGCCAGGGGACTCCAGGAAAGGTGTTGGCTAATGTGGCTGCAATCACTCCTCCACTGCTTCTAAGACAGGAGCCTCAGCACATGTCAGAACCTCTGTGTGCGCCTACACGGTGCTGGGGGAGAAGGGGGTCCCTTGGGTGGAGGGATTAGGGTGGGGCCTGCACGTAGTCTTCTTGACACATTCTACCAGCTTTCTGCAAAAACCTATGGGTAGTATGGCCCACCCTCAGAAAAAGAAACATAGAATCAGCATAGAGTCTAGCAATTTCACCTCTGGGTACCCATCCAAAAAAATTGGAAGCGAAGACTTGAACAGACCCTTGGACCACTGTGTTCACGACAGCATCACTCACGACAGCATCACTCACAACAGCCAAAAGGTAGAAGCAACCCAATGTCTGTGGACAGGTGAATGGGTATACACAAGATGGTATATACATACAGTGGAATATTAGTCATCCTTACGAAGGAAGGGAATTCTAACACGTGGTCCCGTACAACACAGATGAACCTCAAGGACGTTATGCTAAGTGAAAGAAGCCAGTCACAAGGATACAAATATTGTGTGATTCCACTTATAGGAGGAGGTATCTAGAATAGTCGAATTCATCAAGACAGAGTAGAACAGTGCTTGCCAGGGCCTGGGGGAAGAGAATGGGGAGTTAGTCTTCAGCTGGGGAAGAGGAGAATAACTCTGGAGATGGGTGGTGGTGATGGTTGCAGTGCAGTGTGAAGGTACTTGTTGCCACCAAACGCTTAAAAACGGATAAGATGGCACATTTTATGTTATGCATGTATTACCACAACCAAACATTGAGGAAGAGCCTATGGGCCAGATGTGAGAACACCTATTCTCTGCTCAGCTTCCAGGGCCAAGGGGGAGAAGCTTTCTGCTGGCAGATGACCAAACCCATGTTTATGAAATATTCTGAGATCCCTGAGTGAAAAAGATAGACATCGTTACTGTTTTCAGTTCAACTTCAAACGGAAGGGTTTTGGGTGCATGTCTCTTGTCGTGTACGTGTATACGACTGGATGTGTCACACTCACACTCACGCTCTGCACCTCCACGTCCTCAGTGGGAAAAACAGCGTCACAGCCGTGTTCTGCTGGGACCATTCCTCACCTC